GGCATTGTCCTCCAACATATTTCACATCAGAGTTAAGTTAGAATGTGAGGACAAAAAACAATCTGTAGATTTCTCCTGGATGTTTCTGACAGAGGCTAAACTCAGGAGCTGCAATAAATGTAGTTTAGATCTGAAAAGACTTGGCCCTTCTAAAGAGGCCTACAGTGATGACAACCCGAACAGCATTCCAGTGGATCGTTTCGCTCTGTCAGACGATGTTCTCAGTAAAGTGAGAAACGATTGACTACAGATAATCATTCTAGCTGCTTAGAAACATGAAACATTAGGTGACAAAGAGATTGTAGAGGTCTACAGACTTTTGCACAACATTTCTTTCAACCTTTATTTAGACAGGTTAATCTCACTGAGCCTCGAGGACTCTTTTACAGGAGAGACCTGGTTTCAACAAAGAATGATGACAACAGCGACAACAATAGACAATTATAAAAGAGACATACAGATTTTCTTTTCTTAAAAAAACAAAAACAAATTAAAGATGGCAAAAAAAAGCAACAACAGCTAGATTATAAGGCAAATGTAGAAAACTAAAAACAGGAACATGTCTGCATTGGTCCTTGCCAGGAGTCCAACAGATTCTTAAAGACACTTAGAGAGGTCAAAGGTCGAGAGCTTCAAATCTTTTTGTAAGATATTCCAAGAAACAGGAGCGGAGTAGGAGAAGGTCCTTTTGCCAAGTTCAGTCCTCACTGAGGGAACACTGCAGGTAATAATGTCCTGAGAGCGCACGCTGTAGCTGCACTCGCGCAGAGACATGTAGGAGGAGATGTATGAAGGCAACAGACCAAGAAGTGATTTAAAGATGAAAATGTACCAGTGAGAGAGTCTGTGGGAAGTTAATGGTGACCAGTTAACCAGTGAATACAGGGTGCAGTGGTGGGTACGATAATCACAGCCAGTTATGAATCTTAGTGCACCATGATAGACAGCATCCAACATCTGCAGCATCCAACATCTGCAGCATCCAACATCTGCAGCATCCAACACCTGCAGGGTTCTTGTAGGAGCGTTCATGTAAATAATTTCACCGTAATCAATGGAGGGAAGGAAATTCACAATTACAAGGTGTTTCCTAACATTCAGGGTTAGACAGGATCTGTTTCTGAAAAAGAAACACAGTTTAACTTTCAGTTTCTTTACCAAGTTTTCCACGAGAAGCCTAAAAGAGAGATGTGAGTCGACCAAGATACCCAAATATTTATAGGAATCAACAAACTCAATGGGGACACCATTTGAGGATAAAATCGGAGGAAGAACTGCTGGGACCAAGTTCCTATTTGAAAAAAGCATCCCTTTGGTTTTGTCGGCATTTAGGACAAGTTTGAGGCGGAACAAATCTGACTGGATGATGTTGAATGCAGATTGCAAAAGTTGGAAAGCCTTAGCAACAGTTTTAGCTCGGCAATAAACAACTGTGTCATCAGCATAGAAATGTATGGATGCATTAGGGATGTTTTTACCTACATTATGTATGTACTTTGTAGATTGTAAAGAGGGTGGGTCCTAAGACTGAGCCTTGTGGTGCACCATTGTTGACAGTTAAATAACTGGAGGAAGTACCATTATGTTGAACACATTGCCTCAGGTCTGAAAGATAGTTAGAGAACCAACCAATGGTGTGATCTGAGAAACCAATTTCTGAGAGTTTATGACACAAGATGTTCTGATCCACAGTGTCAGAATCTTTAGACAGGTCTAAGAAAAGTGCAGCACAATAATCTTTAGCATCCAGTGCTTCAACAACGTCATTAAGAACCTTCAGTGAAGCAGTGGTTGTGCTGTGTTGTTTCCTGAAACCAGATTGATGTGGAGGTAAGATGTTAAATGAGTCCAGGTAATCTTTGATTTGAGAGTTTATCAGTTTTTCTAGAACCTTGGCTAAAATGCAGAGTTTAGAGATTGGTCGATAGTTGTTCAGTGAGGTGGGGTCACCTCCCTTCAGCAAAGGGAGAACAAAGGCCGTTTTCCAAGCGTCTGGGATGGAGTTTTGTCTTATGGAGAGATTAAAGATGTGGGTCACAGGGACTGTGATGATATGAGCAGCCAGCCTTAAGAAATAAGTTCATCTGGACCTGCAGATTTTTTAGGGTCAAGATCTTTTAACAGTTTATTGACCTCACTGACTGAGAATGGAGAAAAAGAGAAGCTGTGATTAACTGAGGATTGACTTGTAGGAGGGATTTGATTTGTAGAAGTTTGGTTATTAAGTGAAGTGTCTGATTTTCCATTAGTAACTGTGTCAAATAAAGAACCAGAAGCAACAAAATGTTTGTTGAAACAGTTCAGGATCTCGTGGTTATTTGACACAGGAACAGAGTTAACGAGAAGTTGTGATGGGAGGTCAGATGATTGGGGGGTGCCTGAGAGAGATTTGATGGTTTTCCAGAATCTGTAGGGGTCATTTAAATTTTTGGAGGTCTGAGATAAGAAATAGTTACGTTTTGCAGCTTTGACAGCAGTTGTGCATTTATTCCTCATCTGTCGAAAACTCAACCAATCAGTGGCTGAGCCAGATTTTCTGGCTGCGGCCCAAAGATGGTCAACATTACAGAGTTGTCAGAGAGGTGCTGGTTCATTCAAAATTTTGACACTTTGTACACGTTGTCGTACTCAGCAGAGGCTGCTCTGGAAGGTTCAGGTTAGAGCCTGGTGTCAAAAGTTAAGATTTGGGATTATGGACAGGGCTAGGTATTTGGCAAACAAAAACCCATTTATACAGAACCCCCCCCCCCCCCCCCACACACACACACACACACACTTATCTAAGAGAGATAAGATAGAACTTTATTGATCCCGCAGGAAATTGTTGTGCCAGAGTTTCAGTACAAAGGAACAAACACAAGGGATCACACAAGATATAAAAAATAACAGAGAATATAAAAAATACCAGCAATTAAGTTCTAAACAGGTCAGGTGCAGACATGTGTGAAATGTTTTAATGTGAAAAAGTTAAAGTGTTTATTGTGGTGCAGTATTAATTTTATATCTTATGTGCAGAAAGGGGGAGGAGTTGAAAAGTTTGATAGCCACAGGGAGGAAGGACTTCCTGTGTTGTTCTGTGGAGAACCCGGTGGTCTCAGTCTACGAGTGAAGGTGCTGCGGTAAGAGTCCAGTGTGACATGAAGGGGGTCTGACGTGTTGTTCGGGATCTGGAGCAGCTTCATCAGCATCCTCTGCTCAGACACCTCTGTCAGAGACTGTAGTTCCACTCCCAGAACAGAGCTAGCGCTCTTGATGAGTTTATCAAGTCTGTCAGCATCAGCTTTCTTCATTCTGCTGCCACAGCACACCACAGCGTAGAAGAAGACGCTGGAGACCACCTAGTGGTAAAACATCTGCAGCATGGTCCTGCAGACATTAAAGGACCTGAGTCTCCTCAGGAGAAAAAGGCGACTCTGCCCTTGTAGAGGGTGTTGGTGTTAGCTGTCCAGTCCAGTTTATTGTCTAAGTGGACCCCCAGGTACTTGTAGCAGTCCACAGTGTCCACCTTAGTACCCTTGATGTTGATAGGGTTTGGGGGCTGATCTTCTTCCTGTAGTCTTGTAATCTACCTACCTATCTTGACTGGGTTAATGGGCCGAGATCTCCCTTTACCCAGTTATCTTCTGCAGCCCATACGTAGAGCTCCAAGGCGTTCCCAGACCAACTGTGGGTCTAGTTTCTTCCAAGTTAGACACGTCTGAAACATCTCTTTTGGAAATCATCCAGACAACATTCTTGGCAGATGCCCAAAGCACCCAAACAGGCTGCTTTTGATGTGGTGGTGCAGCGGCTCATCCTCAGCTTCTTACCCTGTTCTGGAGGGTGTACCGCCACTCTGCTGAGAAAGCTTATTTTAACCACTAATATTTCTGATCCCATTCTTTCCGTTATAGCTCATGACCAAGATGAAGGTTGAACTGTAGATCAATCATAAAAGGAACCCCAAGTGGAAGGGTTCAAACACCTTATTCTTCACCTTCAAAACAGATTGAAAAACTCATTCATCCCTGTAGCAATCAGGTTTCTCAATGAACACTAATTTCCATACTGTTACTTTAATGTCTTAATGTCTTGTATATGTGTATATGTGTATGTGTGTGTATGTGCATGTGTGTGTATATGTATACATCTACTGACTGTGAAACTAATTGCCCCTCGGGGATAATAAAGATACTTGAACTTGAACTTGAGGGTCTTATTCATAAGTGAGGGTGTAATGAGATGAGAGATTGGAAGGTGGACTGGGAAGGCATCTACAGTGGTGCAGACACTGTCTTGATCTGTCGTTGTAAATGACTGATGAGCTGAACACTAAAGCAAAATGTTCCATTTATCAACGTTTGTACCCTACTACAGAGAATATCAATTATAATGCTCCAAACATATTTAATCATTAACGTCAGGGAGGAGGTGAAGGTCTGTACAAAGCTGGACCAAGGCGAGTACAATAAGGTCCAACGACTAAACTGAAAAGGTATGGTGTGATCAAATTATAACTCGGAGTCATTTTGAGCAGAGACTAAAACAGCTTTCCCACTTTATACCAAATCTTAGTCATCATTTCAGTTCCTCAAAAGGTTTTTACATCCAGTTAAAGGTTTTTTTGTGAGGAATTGAAAAATAAGTCAGTTTTGGTTTGTGTTTTTTTAATTCAAAGCATGTACAGAGTGAGTACACCCTCCACCATCACCCCAAAACATCCTCCAATATGATTCTGAGGCTTAGCTGTGGGATGAGAAAGTGTTCAGATATTTTAGTTAAAAACACAAAGCAACAGATAATATCTTCTCTGGGTGTCAGGAGTCCAGCAGTAGAAGTTTCAGAGTGGCAGAGACGATCAACACGTTGCATCACAATACGAAGTTAGCACTTCGAGGTTCCTTCTTTTGTCTGCTGGTTGTAGCTGCTCATTTCTGCTGCAGTTTCACTCTAAATAAATACATCTGTTGGGTTTTCTTACTGTCACTTTCAGGGTCCAACTACTGAATCAAGATCCCAACATGGCCGCCACACCAATATCTGCTGAGGAACAGGAGGAACTTAGGGAAGCTTTTGCCAAAATTGGTAAGAATGTTGTCACCATTTCTGGTGTTTCTGACCGAGGAAGGAGTTGTGATGAACTACTGCTGTAGGAGCAACACTAGATGTGCCAGAAATTCTCTAAGCATCAACTTTACTTATGTCCTGATGCATGCTCAATAATCCAGGTAGAAAAATCTAAAAAAGTTAAATCTGGTCCTCTGGACATTCAAAAAAACAAAACAAAACAAAAAAAAACATGTAGAAATGTTTAGTCTTTCATCGAAGAGACTTCCTCAGTCTGAGGAGCTGTATTCAGCTCAGTCTCTTAAATAGCACCTTCTCAGAGTGGATCAACCAGTTTTGCTGCTGACAACCAAAACCAGCTGATCACATGCTCAAGAAGGACCATCAGCCTAACAATGGATCATTAGCACACTGATGGCTGTTTACTGTTCACAGAGGGCTGAGTGATACTAGCAATCACAGCATTGTAAGAGGGGGACAGTTGAACCCGGAGGCCTCCACCCCTGTTTAATGATGGACGATTTCTTTTCACAAAGATGGCCTCCTTTACTCCTCTCTCAAACCATCGTTCCTCTCTGTCCAGGATGTGAACATCTTCATCCCTGAAAGAGTGACCGCTGGCCTGGAGATGAGTGTAGACCGCAGAGTCCTGGCCTGATGATGTTGATCTTCTGTGCTGGGCCATCCTTTTGGCCAGTGGCTGTTTTGTTTCCCCGATGTAAGATTGATCACCCTCCTGACACTGAACAACATACACAACATTGCTCTGTTTGTGCCGGGGGACTGGATCTTTGGGATGAACCAGTCTTTAAAGTATTTTGGGTTTTAAAAGCCACTGGGACGTTATGTTTAGAAAATAAACGTCTCAGTTTCTCTGATACTCCCTCAACATATGGAATGACCACTGGTCTGGGTCTGGGTTCCTCCTTTTCACCTGTTGGCTGACTGGAGTCCTGTTTGGGTTTCTTCTCTGCTTTCAGGAAGGCCCAGTTAGGATATCCACATTGCTCTAGAGCCTGTTTTGTGTAGGATTTCTCCTTCTGCCTGGCTCCTGAGCTAGTGGGGACGCTGTCTGCTCTGTGGTACAGAGTCCTGATGACTCCTAACTTGTGCTCCAAAGGGTGATGGGAGTCAAACTGCAAATACTGGTCTGTGTGGGTGGGTTTGCGGTACACCTCAGTTTGCAAATGTCCTCTATCAGAGACTGAGACCTCA